ATATAGTGAAGAAAGAAGGAAGGAATAGAAAAAAGAATTACAACCTTCAGAACTTGGTAAACCTTGGAAGGGTTATGTTTAAATATTACCCAAACTGTGGCTGACTTAGGGAAAAACCAGTCACGCTTCTAATTTCCAGTTTGTTGGTGTATATAGACCGCATGTCAGACAGAAGTGGTTCATGGGTAAACTTATATTGAGGAAAGTTGGGTCTCGAGTCAGAACCAACCAATACAAAGCACCTTTTGTCTAATGACACATTTAAATACTTGTAGAAATAAGAGAGGTCATATATACAAGTTCTGTAGTCTCTGTCTTGTCAATAACAAATAGAATCTTCACATAATCCCATAAAGGGGAACACAATCAAATATGTTATGACAATATGGCATCATTTTGAATCTCTTCTTTGGTCCTCAGAGCAAACTATCAAAATGTCCTGGAAAATCCAACATGTCAGTGCACAAACTCCATTCATCCGCTTTCTTTCACATTAAAAATAACATAAAAAAAAAAAAAAAGATCCAGTTTGGGATTTGGTAAATAGGGTCCCTGCACTCAGCTCCACCTTCAACTTGGAAGTGGTTTTGTCCTCCTCCGGTCTAGTTCCTAGGCAATCCCTGGAGAGAATGTCAGACACTTCTCTGGGCCTCAGAAGACCACACTGGAGAAGCCCTCACTTTGTACCACCATGTGCTTGTTTTCACTAGCAGCATAAACATCACCAACATTTTATCATTGAATGGGAAGAAGCTCCCTTTTCACCTCTGCAACAGTTACAGAAAAGCTCTTCAAAATGATGCATTTTCTAAAAATCCTTTTCATTCTGTTCCAGGAGCCATTTGCGGAATGCTTGGGGAACAAAAAGCATTTCTAAGTCAACAGTATTTGAAAGTTTTTTTTTTTTTTCCTCTTCTCTTTTTCTTCCTTTCTTTTTTTTAAAGTAAAGTTAAGGCTCAAATGTTCTATTAAATTCTCATTGCTTATGTATATTATATTAAGGCTTATAGATACGTCTGGTAAATTAAATGCACTCTGAATTGAATTAACACCTGCTATATGAGTTATTTGCTTTCTGTAATCAGTAATCTCAAGATTTCTTTTCTTTCTCTGGAAACACCATTTAAATATTAACCTAATCTTTAAACTGCTGCTGCAGCTTGCTGACATTTGGAAACGGGTCATCCATGCAAAAAGGCAAATATGGGTATGTTTATGAAAAGCAGCTTCTTGAAAATCTTAAGATGTGTAACTCAATGAATTGGGAAGAAAGAAAGAAAAATACGCCACCCGATCTCTCATGCAAGGAGCAGGACAGTCAAATCTCTGTGTCACTTTCTAGTGAAAACAATGCTGGTCAGCTGCCAAGGATACTTTCAATTTGAGAGGTCTGCTGACGTGGTTGCTAATTTCAAACGAGTCTGTATTTTCTGCATTAAAATCTCTGGAAGGATCTTGGGCAGCAATAGTACATATGAGAGCATTTTAGTTTCTTTAAAAAAAATTGCAGTAGGGTACAGTTTAAGTTCTAGGTCTGCTAAATCCTACAAAAGGAACTATGAAAGAATGAGGTGTGCTTGGCCTGACTCTCCAGCCCTCGGCTCGCTGAGAGGGAGAGGAGCCATGGGTTTGCTCACGTCCTGCTCAGCTGGTAGCCCCTGGAGAATATGAAGCTTTCAAAGTGCTGGTCTTCAGCTTTTTCTTTGACGCGTTGTTCCTCTAAGGAATCTACAAGCCTGTCCCTTTGCTCAATCACTTGCATCATCTCAGTGAATATTTCCTGCTCCTCGTTTAGATCATTCGCATCCTTCTGGCTCTCTAAAGAAAAAAGAAAAACATTGGACCTAAGATTAGATTTGGCCCAGGAGAGTTCTTGGCATGGGCTTTCTTGATTGTTAAGGACATGTTCTGCCCTTTAATTTCAACAAAGAAAACAAGGAAATGAATTTAACACCAAGGAACTGTCCTAAAAACCACAGATTGGAGGGGAGGAGGTGTTTCGTGCTGCAGTCAGCTCAGTTACCATCTTGAGAATATATGGAAAGCAATAGGAGAAAAAAGTTTAGTGAGCCAGAGCCAAAGCCTGCCACCCAATCCCCACTGAGCCCCCAACCTCGCCTTTCCATTCCCCACACACACACAAAAAAGAAACCAACAAAACAATGAAAGGGCTGTTTTCCATAAATGTATGAGAGCCCCAGCAAGGAAATCTATGATAAATTTCTAAGTAGGCAACAGTGGTTACTATTTCAGTGAGGGTCCTTTGTTCATTTGTAGTTAATGAGTAGAAACCATAGGGAAGCAAAGTGAGGCTGACTGCCCAACAGGATTTCCAGACTGTGGCTCTTTGCTTATCTGGGTACATGACCTTCTTCCTTATTGGCCTTGGGTATCCGATTGCCTAAGAGACATGGGATTATTATAAAAGGGAGGAAAAGAGTAACAAACAAGAAATAATGAATTTTGAGCATTCTAGATAGAATTTTAAAGCCAGTTGCTGTGAGAGAGGGCTTTCTAAATTCCTTCAGTCTCATTTAACAAACAAAGGACAAGGCAGTGAGATGGAAGAGGAGAGAAGGTGCCACCATCTGCCATTAGGCTGAGCTCTGAGGCTGGGCTTGGGAAGAAGGTAGGTACGATGGAAGGGAAGTTAAAGGACCACCAATCTGGGGACCAGGTTTGCTGGTCCAATAAAGCCTGGTGGAACCACTGAGACTATGGCCCCGAGCTGCCCTTCAAGTCTGGAATTGAACCCACACCTGTGGTTTCCAGCCAAACAAAGTACAGGCATGTGAGTTAAACATTTACCTCAAGTAGACACACGCCCTGGAGAGAACAATCATGGGAGAAGGAAGGGCTGCTTATGCACAGAGAGATAGCTCAGGGTGCAGAAGAGTATGGAGGGATGGACACTGGTAAGAGGTAACTATGGGGAGGAAGTGGGAGGGGAGCTGTTGCATTGTGGTAAACTGTGGTCAATGACATGAGACAAAGTATATGTGAACTGCTGTATGGAAAGTGAATTTGCTCTGTAAATCTTCACCCAAATCAAAATAATAATAAAAAAAAAAGGACCACCAATCCCTTTGCTCCTCCAGTGTTATGGGAGGGAGAGGCAGGAGAGGCAGACAATGAGAGCCTGTGTTTCAGTGTGTCCATTCATTCTCTCCACTCTCCAAGTGGGGGCCACCTACTGCCTTTGGGTCCACTCTGAGTAACAGTGACCCTACATGCGTCAGAGTGGAACTGTGCTCCATAGGGTCTTTACAGGTTGTTTTTTCGGGAGGAGATAGCCAGGACTTTTGTCCAAGGTGCCCCTGGATGACTTAAACTTCTAACCTTTTGGTTAGTAGCTGAACATATTAACCATTTGTACCACTGTTGTTGTTGTTATGTGCCGTCAAGTTGGACCCGACTCACAGCGACCCCTCCTTGGGTTTCCAAGGCAGTATTACTATGGAAGTAGATTGCCCAACCTTCCTTCCGAGGAGTGGCTGGTGGGTTCAAACCGCCAGCCTTCTGGTTAGCAGTCAAGTGCCTTAGCCCTATACTAGGGACTCCCCAAAAGGGGCAGGAAATGTCTTTTATCATTTGACAGGAACACTGGGGCTAAAGGGCTCTGCTCTGTTGCTCATTTAGAACCCTGGGAAGAAGCCACCTCAAAGGCTACTAGCCCCTGTGGATAAAAACACACCTCTTGTTGGGCAGAGAAGTAGGGCCTGAGTGTGGCTCTCCAAATCTTGATCTGCTCTGTGTGGCACGGATGGAACCTAGAAGTGCCCATTTGCCTGAAATGGGGGCTGCTAAAGTCAACTGGTCAGTGGGCTACCCCAGGATAAGTGAAGTGACCCCACCGTACAGTCTGGATAGTGCACTGTCTGGCCAACTCAATGGAGGATGTTTAAGGTGAGGCCAGCTGAGCCAAGGAATGCCACCATGCTCCAGGCAAGTCAAGAAAATGGAAGACTATGAATTACCTTAGCCACACATCTTAGTTGCAAATGCCAGCAGAGAGAAGGCTAGCTCAATGGATGGGAGACAGCTTTGTGGGGACTCACATAACCCAGGTTCCTAATGCCACCAAAACCAAACCGACTGCCATCAAGTCGATTTCAACTCATAGTGACCCACAGGGTTTCCAAGGCTGTAAATTCTTTACAGAAGTAGATTGTCTCATTTTCCTCCCACAGAGCAGCTGGTGGGATTAAACCACTGATCTTCTGGTTAGCAGCCAAATTCCTTAACCACTGTACCACCAGTGCTCCTTTCCTAATGCCACAAGGTCACACAAACCTGCCTCTCCCCATTATCGGGAAACCACCTTAGGGCGACAAGCAGAAGGAAGGGGCAGTCCTCTGTAAGACTGAATGTTTTTATCCCAAAGAGACTGAATATGTCCTACAGGGATTATTTAAATTATTGCATCAGACTAAGTTAACCAGAGAGGGACAAATAAAGGTGTTTTTGTTTTGTTTTGTTTTGTTTTGTTTTTTCATTCCTTGCTAATGAGCAGGAGGAAGCTTATATGCAAGATGAACTCAGGTATAGGCCAAATGAAGATGCCACATTTTCTTTGTGCATCTGAGGAGAGTGAGAAAATTGATGACCTCCACTCCTTAGTAAGGAGATCTTTTAAAAAAAGAATCAAAGGTAGCTAATGGATCCTTTGGTGGTAATCATTTCACTATCCTGCAAAAGAACAAATTAAAACACTTATCAGATGCATAAATTAGATATTAGTTACACACTATGGTTTGCAAATTTAGGTGTATTCCAATATTGGCACTCTTTATTTGGTAAACAACACAGATAAATCAGAAAGAATTCTTCTCTCAGTCTGGCCTGGTCATAGATGAATCCATCTGAGCCCCTTCCAACAAACAAGAGATCATGCATATCACTTTTCTCTGTTACATGCATTGTGCACTGTAAGGGTTTTACTAGAAATAGAACTACATTGCTGTAAAGAAACAGCCTGCAATAGTTTAGCTTAACTTGTAAAGAATGTCTGCCTTGAGCATCGGGCTCTTCTAAGAACTATCTATATGGGATCAAAATGACAAAAGCAATTCAAAACATCTGATAGGAAACTTTGGGGGCAGTGAGTTTATGTTAATAGGCGAGGAACAATTCAGAAAAAGAGGTTGAGAATGGTTGCACAACTTTAAGAATGTAATCAAGGTCACTGAATTATACACATAAAAATTGTTGAATTGGTGTATGTTCTGCTGTGTATATTCTCAACAACAACAACAAACAACCAAATAAAATAAATTATTATTAAAAAAAAATCTCTGCAGATTATTACTGTATGGGAAAGAACAGGAGTCTCTGAATTAGTAATCTGTCCTTAAATCTTAGCTCTTCCATTGACCTTGACCATGTTATTTAAGCTCCCAATAATCAGTTTTCTAATTATAAAATGGGGATAAGAATTGTTGTTGTTGTATGCTGTCGAGTCAATTCTGACTCACGGTGACTCTACATGATGGACTAGAATTGCCCCAGAGAGTTTCCTAGACTGTAGTCTTTATCTAAGTAGGTCACCAGGGCTCTTCTTCCATGGAGCCACGGATGGGTTCAAACCACCAACCTTTTGGTTAGAAGCCAAACATCTAACCATTGCCCCACCAGGGATCCTTGAGGTACTATGTGTTAGGCAACCTCAAAAGGTAGGTGTAACTTTTAGGTCCAGGAGGTATAAAGGCATTTTTTAACTTGTTCTTTTAGATTTAGGTCTAAATATGAGGACGCCATGGATGGATCTCTCCCCACAAACAGATGGCATAAAACAGAATAAATATGCTTAGTTTTCTAGAGCCAATGAATGCTTAAATTAGTATACCATGTCAGTTAAACTTATTTCAACTCTCCCTCCTCCATGGTGGAATCATTTTCTCATGAGCAATACCCTGAGTCCATGCTGGGAGGGGATGTTCCCTTGGCCATTTATAGTGAGGCTGCCTTCCTCTGTGTTCCTAAAGCACCTCTGTGGTGGCCTTCATCACACTATACTGGAATTACTGGTCTGGTGTTGGTCACTCATGTGAGACCATAAACTTCTGGAGGTCACGGGTTGCTCTTCACCATATGCCAAGCACATACTAAGTGCTCAATAAGTGTTCATTAAATGAATGGATAAGTGAATACATATGTAAATGAACAAATGATTTTGTTCCAGCCAGATTTTGGCAGATGGGATGAAGCAAAATGGTGCTCTCACAGCCTAAGTGAAGGTTGCTTAATGGGGACTTGCTGTGCCAATGGTGAGTGCACAGAAGGAAGACTTTGCACTTGCCTTTGACAATAAGTGGCTATGCAAGGCAGGAAGAGCACCCTGGGATTTGCAGCATGCTCTGTTCAAGTTTCTTTGGGCAAGGGGAAATATGTTTTTAACAAGGACTCCCCAAATATCCCCATACTCACCCTCCTTGAGCATTTTCTCTCTTAATTTCTGCTCCAGCCTGCTTTGATGATCTTCTAATTCTAGTTCTCGGGCCCTGGATATAAGAAAATGTTCAAATTTTTTAAATATTAGAGGTATGTGTAGAAACATTGAATAATAAGCCCACTGAGGGTAGGTCCTACATTCCTTTTTTCTCTTGTGAAAACTGGGATCTTGGTATTAACCTAAACTGAAAGTTTTGCTGGTGCTGGATTTCCAAAGATGCCTAGGAGGATTGCTAAGATATGCTGAACCCAAGAGATGGTGAGGAGCAGCCAAGGTGGCTGTGGTGTGATCTCAGTAGGCTTTAGGAAGGCCAGCCAGGCCGCTCTTTGCCGAGGGCAGGAGGTAGAGAGAATAATGAAGAAACAACTACAGTAGGGCAAGGGGGAAGCACACTATCTGAAACTCTTCTTTCCCTAAAGGGTAATGTAACTTGAAGTATCACGTCTGAGAACTCCTAAGTCTCTGATTGTGGTGACAAGAGAATAAAAAGGTAACAGGGAAATAGGAAGAACAAATTTTGTACAGGTAGGGTACAGGTGGTGGGAAACCTTCTGGCCACAGTGCAGTTCTGGTACCCATGAAAGACAGGAAAGGAAAATCGGGCAGAAGGAGCCTCAGACTGCAATGTGGCCTTGAGGAAGTGGTTGCTCATGTGGTTGTCCTCATGGACAATAATATGTGTGCAGAAGATGTTCAAAGAAGAGTCAATGATGCTTTGGAGCAGCCAAGCCTAAGAGCTGGGAACTCACCATCTCTGCTGATAGGAACAGCAGAGTCAAGAAGTAAAGATCTTTCGGTCCTTGGTGAAGGTCAGTTTAGAATTTCTTGAATTAGCAATGCTTGGGGGTAGATCTCATTTAAATCACAGGGTGTATGTTAAGTGCCCCATTGGGCAGGCCCGTGTAGTAATATGGAAGTTCTCCACTAATTTGGGGATGCAGCTCCAGAGTTCTTGACAGAAATGAGGACCACAGATAGATGTGGGAGTTGTCAAAGACAGCTGACGTCATGTTTGCCCAAAAGGGAGACCATAACAAAGAAGAGATTTAGACAGAATCTTGGGAATGGCTACATTTAAAGTCCAGCAAAAGAGGTAGAAGAAGCCTTCAAAAGGCTGGAAGTAAAATCCAAGAAATAAAACATCACAGAAGCAAAAGAGGAAAGTTTTGACAGAGAAGAGAGAGGTCAAGTGTGTTTGCTGAGGGAGCGATGTCAAAGAGTCCCTGCATTTGATATGGTGGTGCCCTTCCCTTCCAGCTCCTACCTGCAGTCTGGGTGTGAATTTGAGTTTTGGGGCCATTTTGTTATACCCTGTTATCATTTTTTTCTCTACTTTTGCTATTACTTGGGCCTAGGTCCCTGCTTTGTTCGATATTCTGCATTTTGTGGTCAAGAACAAACTTCTCTCAGTCCACTGTGACAGCCAATGGTGGTGTTCCTTTAAGAAAGAACTTCCTGCCAGAATTGTAGTTGGCTGACCGCTGCTGTGGAATCTGCCTCAATGTTCAAACAGAGGCCATGCTCTCTCCAGTCTGGTCTGAGCCAATGAAGGAGCACAGCAGAGGTATTAGAGCTGGGCCATTCCTACACAACATGGGATCCTCAGATAAGCACACTTCGCTCTGATGCTCCACGTCACCCTGGTCAAGTCTCTGACCAGGCACACTGCGACTGGAGTCACCTCCTGCCCAACTCTTCTTCCATCCCTCTTCCTTCCCACAGATATCAGAACTGTACTTTGGTCTGAAGGTTTTCCTCTTACTCCTACTCCCTTTCTCCTTTACCCTTCACAGATGTTTCTTCCAATAAATCACTTGTATTTCTAACTGTCTTGGTGACTACTTCCCAAAGGAACTGTATTGACACACCCACCTAAGATACTCCTCCTTGGTCATCCAGGTCTTTCTCCAAACTACAGTCTATCCTTTAACAAAGCTCCTACCTACCTGTCTAGATCACATGCCTGAGCTTTCCTATTTGGTCTCTTTTGGAGGAGAAGGGTCCCCTGACGTATACTAACAGGGGACAGCTGCAGTGACTGGACAGCAGCTGCAGCCACTGCTGCCCCCTTGACTCTCTCTACACAGGAGCCCCTATGTACTAAATGCTCCTTGTAAATCCCCATGTTTTGTTATTACTGTTGTACTACCTGTTGCCATTCTGTCTAGCTCTAAGCCCTCTACCTCTGTCTGCCTCTGCTGTGACCCATCATTGGCTCAGAGCAGACAGGGGGAGCCTGGTCTCTACATGAACACTGAGGCAGATTCTAGGGTTCCCAGAGGATAAAGACTGTGACCTTACTCATCTTTAGTCCCATGGTACCCAACAAAGGGCCTGGCACACAGAATGTCTTGCTAAATTTTTGCTGAATGAACTTCAAATTTCAGACCCAGCCCAAATGCAACAATATAGTTATGTACAAGGGCTTTGTCATCAGGTGGACATGGAAAAATTACATGGTTGCTCTGGACCTCTGTATATCCATCAACTTAATAAATAGTAAGAGAAAAAAAGCTATCATAGATAAACACTTTTTCCCATTCCTGATGTTCCCTTCCACAGTGATGGAGCTCAGTTACTGTAACTCTTGGCCTCTTCCCCCAGCCCTAACCTTTACTCATTCCTAGCCCCAACCTAAACTAAACCCACTGCCGCTGAGTTAATTCTGACCTCTAGAAACTCTATAGAACAGAGTAGGCCGTAAAGTTTTTTCTTTACACCTGCCATGATGGTCATCATGGTGAATCTAAATTAGCACAAGATATCAGAGTACCTTTGGAATCATTAAGGAATGATTAAATTCTGTTTGGTGTACTGACAGTGTTAAATGGAAGTTAAATGCTTTTTTTTTTTTTTTTCCTTTTACCCAAGTTAATATGTGTCTACCCTGTAGTTAGTGCTTTACCCTCCCTTCTTCACCCACCCCGGTAACCATTAAAGAATATTATTTTTTGTGTGTGAAACCCTTTTCTTAACATTTTACAATATTAGTGTCATACAATATTTGTCCTTCTGTGGACTGACTAACTTCTCTCAGCATAATGGCCTCTAAGTTTATCCATGTGTTAAGTTTTCACAGATTCATCATTGTTCTTTAATGTTGACTAATACTCCATTGTATGTATGTTGATTCATCCTCTGTTGATGGGCATTTATGTTGTTTCCATCTTTTCCCTCAGTTAAAGCTGAGTGCTTTAACCACTGCACAGGGCTCCTACTTCTACTCTAAACTAGAAAGAAAACCAAACACACTGCTATCAAATCCATTCCTAGAGACCCTATAGGACAGAGTAGAACTGCCTCATAGGCTGTAAATATGGAAGCAGACTGCCTCATGTTTCTCCTGTGGAGTGGCCAGTGAGTTTGAACCATCGACCTTTTAGTTAGCAACTGTATGCTTTAAAACTGTGCCACGAGAGCTCCTTACTTCTACCCCATAGGAGGTAAATTTGGAAAGAATAGACTGGGTGAGCTCAGCTTACTTCTTCTAAGATCAAGCTGCCTGCAGAAAACATGTGTTCTCAGTTACACCAGCCTTAACATGGGTCTAGGGTTAGGTTTCCCAACCTTGACACTGTGAGCATTTTGAGCTGAATAATTCTTTGTTTGGAGGTGGAGGTGTGCACTGTAGGATGTTTAGTAACATCCTTGCCCTCTACTCACTAGATGCCAGTAATATCTCTCCCCAGTTGTGACAACCAAATATTCCCGGGGGGACAGAGTTGTCCCCAGTTGAGACCTGTTGGCCTAGGGCCAAGACCTTGTACCTAAGGAAAAAAGCCTTAAGTGAGTCCATGGCCTTTTGTGACAAGGTAGATAAGTCTGTCTAATTCTGGGGTTTGGGTCATGCAGTAGGTTGAATGGTGACACCCAAAATGATATTCCATGTCTTAACTCCAAGAACCTATGAATATTGTCCTTATTTGGAAAGAGTCTTTGAAGATGTAACTAAGGACCCTGCAAATTTCCTCTCGGGGTAGGGATAAAAATAAGTAAAAGCACCTACATGGCTGGCTTATAATAAATATTAGCTTCTTTGCCTTCAGATTAGTGGCAAGTATATTGACCTTCAACTTTTTCAGAATGTGGTGAGGTCCATCTATACTTTCTCATCTTCCTGTCAGGCTTTAACCACTAGTGTAGAGGGGACAGACAAACAGATCCCATTACTTCAGTGCATTAAAAGCACAAGGGAGTAACCAGGCCCATCTCTCTTCACGTGAGCCACATTTGGACACATCCTTCCCCATTGCAGGTGTGTGACTGCTCTTTTAACATGGGGCTGGGGGACAGGGATGGATTGCAAAACCTTTTCCAAATGCCCCACAGCTCCAGACCCATTACCTGAAATCTATTTTAGCCAAAGGACTCCACAGAGAGAACAGACGACTGAAGATTCTCTGCACTAATGCTGGCATTATATGCAAGACGTAAAATATCAACTGGCCTCAATCACCGTTCTGTATGCACGCAGAGAAGAAATCTTGGGACTTCACCCTGGGAGGGGGAGCCACCCCACTCCCACCCTTTTGCTTTTAGGACTTGCTGTTATCTGTGTTGCCTTACTTACATGATCAGTAGCTCCGACTCATATCGCATTAATTTATTCTTCTCCAGAACCAGCTTAAACCATTCCTGCAAAAGCTGTGCTTCATCGTGTGTGCCTGAATCTGTTTAAGAAATCAACAGCAAATGGGTTAGATTGGTGTTTCTCTCCCCACGATCAAACTGCTTTGCAGCCACTTGAGCAGGCCATGTTTGTAGTGAGAAGGCTCGACAAACACCAACTCCCTGATGCCGTGTTGATGCCCTGAGGCTGTGGGAACGACAAATAAAACCCACCTTTGACACTCTGTGGGGAGGCCCTCTTGCACATTTAGGACAGAAATCCTCCAGCTCCAAGGGTCATAATCTTGATAGTATCCTGTCATAAATGACTCTTCTTCTGCCTACTTGTCTCTCCCCCAGAAGACTTTTTGTGTTTATACATCATATCCTCTGCCAAAGAAAACTCTAGCTTTTTTGATTAATACCCCCTTTGGCACCCTTGGATCAAATGCCCACTGAGTGCCCAGGTGGCATGTGACTCTCTTTGTAGGCAAGGAAGCTCACATTACATTTTTCTTGTAGTGATGTTTGCATTTCAATTTTTGCACAAACAGGTACCAAATGATGAAGAAAAAAAAATAATACCTTTGAGCTGCATGAGGCAGAAAAAACCCCAAAGCATTAGACAATGAGTCGATTCTGACTCATGACAACCCCATGTGTGTATAGTAGAAATGGACTCCATAGAGTTTTCAGTGCTGTGACCTTCTGAAAGCAGCCCACTAGGCCTTTCCCCTTAGTTGCCTGTGGGGGTTTGAGCCACCAACCTTTCAGTAGTCGAGCACTTAACCATTTATACTACCCAGGGACTCCTAGGACTTAGATTATGAACTTTATGAAACAGAAAAATAACCATGAAAATATTGGTAAGGCTTTTTAGATACTAAAGATGAGATGCTAAATGTTTGGATACTAAAATGTTAACATCTGGGCATATTTAAGAAGCAGAACATGGAAGGCTTTCTAATGTTTCACTCTGCAGTGAGGACAAAGGTTGCCCTGCAAAGCTCATGGCCATTCTGGAAGGACTTACACTGGAGGGTCCGTGGACAGAGAGGAAACAACCCAGACACAAGATCTGTGTGACCTTGGCCAAATTGCTTCTGCTGCTTAATCTGTTAAGCAGGTAACAGTTTAACAGGTAATATAATAATAAATATTAAAATTCCCTGCCTCTTGAGAGGCTGTGTGCTTCAGACACAGCATCTCGCAACAAACTCACCAACAGACACTCTTATTATGCCTACTTGATAACTTAAGAAATGGAGGCTTAAAAGATTGAAAAACAAAAACACCAAACCCACTGCTGTTGAGTCGGATCCAACTCATAGTGACCCATCCTTGGGTTTTCGAGGCAGTATCACTACAGAAGTAGATTGACCAACCTTCCTTCCAAGGAGTGGCTGGTGGAAAGTAGCTTGAAAATTCACAGTAAGTGGAAGAGCCAGGACCTTGAATCAAGTGTTAGGTAAGCCTGAGTCTTCCCAATCTCCTTCTCCTAGTCCTGTAAGCTATGCAATGCCCTAGCCCATTGCTCTGCAGACAGCAATCCATCCATAAAAATGATGAACCCCCTTTTCTGCCTGTTTTCCTTGAACACTTTTTTATTGATAAAGAAACTGGGACCCAGAGGGATTTATAAGCACTGCCTCAAATTATATAGTTAGTGAGCAAACTGGTGCTCAAATGCAGATGTTGACTTCTGGTCCAGTCGTTTATTCCCTCAGTAACTCATATGAATACCTCTTACGTGTCAGGTACTGCTTTAGGTACTGGACATACAGTGATGCAGAAGGTTAGCTCTCCCATTCTCCTCTCCTACACAGATTCAACTTCCTCTCAGAGATACTTGCTTTCTATTTCTGGATTGAGGACCATGCCCCTTGATAAAGAAAACAGACAAGCTGAGAGTTGGAAATTCTGCCTTTCCTCATCATGTAACCTTATACCATCTGCCACAAGCACTGGGCCTATCCTCTCCTTACTGTCAATCCAAAAGAAACAGCTTTAAATACACTGTTTTACTGCTTTTAGAGGTCTTTTTGTTGTTGTTTTTCAGATTCAGAGTCTTTGCTGAATTGTAGCCACTGTTCTAGCCAGATTTCCATCCTGGATTACATGTCCCTCTTTCACTTGTTCTCACGTGTCCATTCGAGGGTTCCCTGTGCAGCTACACTGTTTCGATTGACCAACTCAACAAACAGGTTGAACTGAATCTCTCAACTGAATTTTCTTTTTCAATGGACTGATTTGTAATTTTATAGTCCATAGTTCATTTTTTAAAGAGTCTCCCTTTCTTCAGTAGTCAAAATAACTTTTGGGAAATCTTTGGATACGGGATTGTGTACAGAGTTCTGGGAACGCCACCTTCCCAATGTGTGGGGTACAGGGGGACTACGTCTAGTACAGCCTTGTCATACCCGGATTACAACTGAGACTTTCTCCCATGGTTTCCATCAATCACTTTCCCCATCAGATAGCCTCCTTGAGGGTCCCGATGAAGTCAACCCTAGCATTACTCTCACTGTAGATGCAGTACAGCAAAGTGGAAAAATCATGGCCTTTGCAATCACATAGACCTGGCTCAGCCACTTGCTAACGTATGACCTTGGACAAGTAAACTCACCTTTCTCAACCTCAGTCTCCTCCTCTGAGAAATGGGGATGATAATAGTACCTACCTCATAAATTGGTTATGGAGATTAAATAGATGATGCATATAAATACATCCCATGGTGCTTGGCACATGGTAAGCATTTAATAAATTGTATCACTGTTATTATTGCATTGTGGTTTCTTCCAGTGTCTAGTTCTATAGTTCCATTTGCATTATTTCCTGTTCGCCTTTAAAACTCAGCTAGTTATGTATAACCCATGATTTGATTACACACAGCTAAACTTTATCTTGCATCTTAACCTGAGATTAACAAAACTATTAAATAATTATTCTGGTTTTGGATCCATGTTAATGAAAGAGTTACATGGCTGGCTGGATCCTTAGCACTTCTCGGGAAGACGTGAGAACTACTTGCCTACACAGAATGCTTGTCTCTCTGGTCCTGTGGCGACTGTTACTGTGCTGAAAGCCCTTCTAGAACAGGGCTGTGACCCATAGGTCTAAGGGCCAGGATGCAACTAGAATGGTGCAGGTAGACAATGCATAGCCTCCCTCATATCCACTGCCAGCTGGTCCTCCATTTGTTCCTGTGCCCTCGTATCATGTTTTTCCTACACCATGTGCATGGATCCCACTTGCTAAGGTAAAACAAAGTAATCCAAACTCAACACCAAACTTTCTATTAATGGACTCATTTAAATAGACTGCTGCCAAAGTGATCTCATAAAAATGTGAAGCAAATTATGCTACTCCCCTACTCAAATTCTTCAGTAAGACCCCACAGTCAATTTAGTCCCTGCTTACCTTAGAGTAGGAAGCTCTGGTGATGCAGTGGTTAAGGTATTTGGCAACTAACCAGGAGGTCAGTGGTTTGAATCTACCAGCCTCTCCACAAGAGAAAGATGAGGTAGCCTGCGTCCACAGATTTACAGCCTTGGAAACACAGTGGGGCAGTTCTACCCTGTCCTGTAGGGTCACTATGAGTACAAATTGACCCCATAGCGAGGGTTTACTTTGGGTTTTTGGTCTTTGGTTTTTGGAGTGATTAGCCAATTTAGTCTTTAATGGTCCATATTTTTTTCTGAAGGAATTAATAGTGGGGGATAAATGAACAATCTATTAATCAAAATCCTGGTCTTTAAAGCATTTTCTTTTGTAGATAACACTGAATGAATACTTTTCAATTGTGCACTGGTGTGTGGTTCTTCCAAGTTGGGTCTTGTTTTACTGTTGTTCACAGCTCATTCTTCTGACGTGATTTCCTACCTCCTTAGAACCTGTGTGGAAGGAAGGTTGGGCAATCTACTTCTGTAGTGATACCACCTCGGAAACCCAAGGAGGGGTCACTATGAGTCGGATCTGACTCGACAGCAGTGAGTTTGGTTTTGTTTTTAGTTTAGAACCTGTGAGAAAATCCTAATTTGGTATTTGCTGCAATTTTGTTAATGCACTCAACATCCTTACTGATGATCTTGGGCATCAGAGTAATTGCAGCCCAAAGACTTGGATACCATGCAGGGCACCTCCCCTGGACTGGATTTCCATGCCCTACCTTTTGTTCTCCAGCCTCTGAGAAGCTCTCAGTGCTCATCCTCAGTCCAGTTTCTTGTAAAGTCTCTGGTCAGGACTTCAGTACCCAGAGCCTCCATAGGCTCTTTACATAAGAAGATGATTATTCAGAAAGCTAACCTGACTTGATTCCATCTTGGAAAACCCAGGGCACTGGTGGCTAGCTTGTGATTCCATTTTGGGAGCCAGATAGGAATTCAAGTCCTCCCTTTTTTTTTTTTTTTTTAAAAAAAACTTGTTTTGTTTTGAGCCACATATCTATTTACCATAAACAAACAAAAATTAGTTTTTCTTGGTTTTGAGCCCTAATAAAATGGTATCCTACTACATGTGGTCTCCTGCAATTTGCTTGTTTTAACTTCAATATCATGTTTCTAAACTGCACCCATGTTGCTCACTCATTTTCATTGCTGTGTATATGATATTTGGTTGTACGACTTCAGCACCATCAACCACCAGTTGCCACCAAGTTACTCTGACTCACTGTGACCCCATGGGTCTCAGAGCAGAACTATGCTCCACTGGGTTTCCAGTGGCTGATGATTTAGAAATAGGTCACCAGGCCTTCTTCCAAGACACTGCCGGGTGGAACTTCCCGAATTCATCCATTCTCGTGCCACGGGATATCTGGGCTGTTATTAGATTTTTGGTGTTATGAATTATGCTACAATGAACATTTCTGTGTATGTCCCCTGATCCATGTGAGCAACAGTTTCTCTGGAACATATACTTAGGAATTAAATTCTCGGGTTGTAAAGTATGCAAATGTTCACTTTACCACATAAAGTCAAATTGTTTTCCAAAATGTTGTGACACGCCCTGGAGAGAACAATCATGGGAGAAGTAAGGGCTGCTTATGCACAGAGAGACAGCTCAG